TTGAGCCGAAATACATTATATTCCTATGTTCCGAATTTATTTCGTTCAATCTGTATATTCTAAGATATTTAACTTAAGGATTAAAAAATAGAACTTTAAGTTCTTGTTAACTCTTTAACTCTAACAAGTCTATAACTAAAATAAAACTTATAATTAACAAAATTGTCTATGTATTAATCAGTAGGAATAAACAATAGTCAAACAAAAAACATTGAATTTAAAAAACCATGGATAAACGAACAAAACTACTCCAAAAACATAAAACTAACGCAATCGCAATATACAAGATGAGGTGTAAACAATTATTATAACTATTATATTATTTATCTATGATAATGGCTCTTAGCTCGGTTCAAATTGATACCGCATTGGCGCTGCGATCTTAATCCGAATAGTCAATAGAGAGATACGTTACGTTAGGTGGTTACAAAAACTCCCTAATAACTAGGGCTACGATGTTACGATACTATCTTGAAAACTTTGACATTGACATACATCAATCGTGCTGTCAACCATATACAGGTTTGTTCCTTATTCACGAGTATTTATTAACACCCTCCCTCAAACCTGTTAGTATACAAAACTAAATCCTCAAACCTAACTTATTTACAAAATAATTCAATTTCTCATAGCACAGAGACTATAAATATATCTCCAAGTTGCTCATTTGAACAAATATATTCAACCTTCATAATACCCTGTGCTACCAGATCCAAAACAAAATGTAATTTTACTTCAATGTGTTTACACCTTTTATTGTTTTCAAAGTTTTGTAACAGTTTGATAGCACTTTGATTGTCTTCAAATATTGTGACTGGTAATAATTTAATTTCCAAATCCAACAGTAAGTTTTTATATACAGTAATTCACATGAAGCTGCACATACCGCCACAAACTCAGATTCTGTACTTGATAAAGTTACCAAACGTTGCTTTTTGGAAGACCATGAGATTAGATTATTAAAAAGTTTAAAACAATATCCACTAATGGATTTTCTTTCATTTATGTCATTAGCCCAATCAGCATCAGTATAACCAACTAAATCAAAACAAGAAGTATCTTCTCAATGATAAAAATACAACCTAAAATTAATAGTAGATTTCAAATATTTCAGTACTCTTAACAAATGCTTAAAATGTTCATTAGTAGCACTATCTTGAAATCTCCCAAAATAACTAAAGCTGAAACAAATATCAGGTCTAGTACCCATTATTATATACATAAGACTACCTAACAGTTCTTTGTATGGTAAATTGGTACTAAGATTACAATCAGTATTTCTCAGTAAATTCAAATTCTTTTCAATTGGTGTTTCAAAATTTTTATTGTCTTCAACATTATATCGTTTGACAAGATTTTCAATTGCAGGTATTTGGTGAAGAGTTATGATCCTATTTTCAAAATCTCTGTCAATTCTTATTCCCAAAAAGTTAAACTGACTGCTTATTTTATTCATTTTAAAAGATTCACACAATTTTGTTTTGAAATAATTCAAAAATACATCATTATTACAAGCCATCAAAATGTCATCTACATAAAGCAGCAAGTAACATCTTATATCCTTATTAATAAAACTATATAAACAGTAGTCTGTTTTTGAACGTTTAAAATTTAACAGTAGCATAAATTCATTAAATTTCTCATTCCATGCCTTTGGGGATTACTTGAGACCATATATTGCCCTATTCAATAAACATACTTTATTTTGATCATGTTTCGAAACTCTAAGACCTTCAGTTATTTTCATAAAGGTTTTTTCTTTCAGAGAACTATTCAGGAAAGCATTTTTCACATCTAATTGTAACAATAGTAAATTATAATGATTACAGATAGACAATATTATTCTTAATGTAGACAACTTTGCTACAGTAGCATGTATTTGTGAAAAATCATTAAAATGAGTTTGTTCAAAGCCTCGTGTAACTAATCGGGCTTTATAAACAGGCTTACCAACATCATTTTCCTTTAACCGAAAATCCCACCTATTACTAATTACCTTTTGATTACATGTCTTCTCAACTAATTCCCAAGTATTATTATTTGTCAGTGCATCCAACTCATCTTCAATTGCCTGTTTCCATGAACTCCATTCTGAACTTTCTTTTGCCTCTGAGTAAGACTTCGGTGCATTTGTTAGTTCACTAAGTAGTGCCAAACAACTTATATCTAATTCTTCATCACACTTTGCTGCATCTAATTCATAAATGTCATATTTTCCGGGTAATTTTCTTACTCTTCGTGGTCTGCCATTTTGGGTACTTCCAGAAGGCACTCCTTCATTATACTTTTTATTATCTTCTTCTTTGTCTTCTTGACTATCAGACTGTATGTCTTCATCTCCAGCTTCAGTTTGTATTCCTTTTTTTTTTCGATTTTATTTTCTTGTATATCATAATTTTCTTCATCGTCTTTTTCTCTGTTTCTTCTCAGATCTTTTTCCTTTTTATTCGTAAAATTATTTTCATTGAATACTACATTTCTACTGTGAATTAACTTATACTCCAGAGTTTGATATTTCAGATGTTTAAAAAGATACAAAAAAAGTGGTAATGAAGGTACACAAAATTTGTACGTATATTTATATTGAGCTAAACATAAAATCAAAATAAATAATGATAAAGTCAACTTATATCAACATATATCTAAATTATTATTCTATTTATATTATAAAATAGATGACTCAGTCAATATTGAGTTACTTTAATTTATTTTTATTATCTCATAACTTGAATGAGATGAAAATGGAGTAGGAATTCTACTCTCCTACTCCATGAAAATGGAGTAGGAGAGTAATAATAAAGATACCAAAAAAGGGTGACAGAAGATATTGCAAAAACTGGAGAGGAATCACACTTCTCAATACTATAAATAAATTAACAGCAATAATTATAAACAACCGACTAACAAACAGTGTAGAACCAATGTTGAGGAAGGAACAAGCCGGTTTCAGACCAAACAGATCATGCGTGGACCAAATTAACACACTAAGAATAATTGTAGAAAAGTCACAGGAATTCAACTCTCCTCTCTTTGTGTGCTTTGTGGACTTCAAGAGAGCTTTTGACACGCTCACACATACGGCCATATGGAAAGCACTGAAGGAAATAGGAATACCAGAAAAAATAGTAAATCTCATCAAAGAACTCTACAGTGACATAGAAAGCAAAATCCTACACAACGGCATAACATCTGACCCAATAGCTATGCTAAACGGAGTAAAGCAGGGCTGTGTTTTATCCCCCATACTATTTAACATTGTACTGGACTCCGTACTAACAAAGGTAAACTCTAATAGAGGAATTTACTGGGGATTAACAAACAGACTGGAAGACCTAGATTACGCTGATGATATATGCCTCCTAGCACATACAAAACAGGACATGCAACTCCAAGTAAACAAAGTACAAGAAGAATCAAAGAAGGTTGGTCTAGAAATAAACATCAACAAAACCAAAGAAATGCGATTTGGTACCAGAAACAACCAACCTATTATGATCAACGACCAGAAAATTGAGAGAGTAGCGGAATTTGTATATCTGGGCAGCATAATTGACTGTAATGGGGGTACAGAGCGTGATGTACATGAAAGAATAAATAAGGCTCGCAACGCCTACAACATGCTTAACAACATATGGAAATCCAGGATTTACCCAACTAAAACGAAACTAAAAATCTTCAACACAAATGTAAAAGCTGTATTACTGTATGGCTGCGAAACGTGGAAGATATCAGCACCCATAGTACACCAATTACAAGTTTTCATCAATAGAGCGTTACGAAAAATGCTTCGTATATTTTGGCCTAACCGAATCTCCAATGAAAATTTATGGAACCAAAGCAACCAAGAAAATGTCATAAAGCAAATAAGGCAAAGAAAATGGAGATGGCTGGGCCACACACTCCGTAGACCGCCAAATGACATTGCCAGGACAGCGCTGGATTGGAATCCCCAAGGCCGACGGAAAGTAGGCAGACCTAAGGGAACTTGGAGAAGGACAGTACTGGACGAAGGGAGAAAAATGGGAAAATCCTGGCTTGAAATCAAAGCACTAGCCAGAAATAGAGTTCGCTGGAGACACTTTGTGGAAGCCCTATGTTCCTCTTAGGAATCTTGGGACTATATATATATATATATATATATATATATATATATATATATATATATATATATATATATATATATATATATATATATATATATATATATATATATATATATATATATATATATATATATATATATAACTTGCAATTTGCAACCGTCACCATTGATAACCGATATTATTCTCGAACTTTTGCTTTTATACAAGCCTTCTGTCTTGCCGGTGTAAAGTCGTCTGAAGTCGATATTTATTGTGTTTTGCCTTTGAACTAATTTGTGCCTTATTTTTATATTATTATATTGTTTGGTAAGTAAATTTTGCATATAATAATCGGTGGGTTATAGTAATGTGAATATTTTTTATTTTACTAAATTTAAAAATAATTAAATCTAAAATACCATATTGAATTATTGAATTGAATCAGATTTTTCTTTATTGTAATCTATTTTATTTTTATTTCAGTAAAACTGCTTGGAAATGAGTGCCAGTGAATCAAAATACGCAAATCTACTATTTACCTATACAAAAAGCGTGTGTATATTATTAGTATATGTATGAAAACAAATATAAATATTTCGCCTGAACCCCCAGAAAAAGTAAAGGTTTTACGATACTGAAAATGCATTTTTATTCAATTATAACGAAAACAAAACATTTAAAAAATAATTCGATCATTTTTGACCACAATTTCAAAATTAATTTGTACGTTATAATCAAAGAATAGACTTAAAGAATATTATGGGTTCGAGCAGTCTTGACTACGTCACACTCCTGGGCCAGCTGTCAAATGTCATGCGCAATATCATACCTTGTATTCATTTTACCATGATATTTCCGTTACAATCTTTCTCCCACAGATTATACTATTTTTAAAATTGACATATGAAGCAAATCGTCAGTTAGAATGCAACTGTATAAAGCTTTTTCGTTTGAATACACAGTTTTCTGATTTTAAATTAGTGTTCTGTTATATTTAAAACAATTATTAAATATATAATCCAGTGATAAATGTTTTAAGTTTTTGGGTATAGTTACAAGAATTTGACTGTAAGTATATTTTTTACTTTACTTTTTTACAATAGGAGTTGTTCATAACATTTTTATACATCATCTAATGAAAATTTCATCTGTTGATAATCTGCCTGCAGATAGTGTTCATCAAGCATTTAACCAAAGCATTACATAAAATTTAATTTCAATTTTTATGCCTCTGATAATTGCAATAAACAAATAGTTTAGTCTTAAGCAAAGAAATGTAAAAGGTTTATGTGTATTTTAATTTTATCTTTATTTAGGTATTAAAATGGACCCCACTAAATCAAAACTGCCAAAAAAATCTAAGATTCCATTGACAGAGGTTCAACAGAACATGGTTAAGGCTGCACAAATTGCTTCAGCTACTCCAAGAACCACTGGACCTTCCCAAAATAGAAACATACCTGGTACTGCCACAATCTCCACAGCCTCTAACAGAAATACCCATGGAAAGTTTTTAAGAAGATCTAGATCCATGGTAAACTTAGGGGCTAACCCCACACATAAAAGAGTTGGAACTGAATCTTCAACAAAACCAGTTTTTAAAAATCCAAACAATGTAGCAGGAAATATAAAATCTACTCTTAAACGGGCAGCTACAAACAAACTAGAAACTATTGCAGAACCCAAAGAAGCCAAGCAACCAAAAATCGCAGCTTGGGATTTCAAAGGAAAATATAAAGAATTACAAGAAAAACATAAAAAGCTAATAGAAACCTATTGTTCACTTAAAGAACAATGTGCAGGTAATGATATATCAAAATTTTGATTAAATTTTAACTTGATACTCTATCCTGTTATACTCTATAGTATACTTTTCAATTCTATATTCCCCGTTTTTATTTGGGTTCTTACCCTTTATCCTGTTAGAGCATGTGGCCTCTGCTTAATTATGAACACTGATGTTTTTTGTATAATTTTAATTTGGTTTTTGGGCTTACCTCTACTGTCTAGTAATTGTAATTTCTATGTTTCTAACATCATTTATAGTCACTCCATAAATATTTAAAGCAGTTGCCCTTGCTAAATATTTTCATGTTTGTAGATTATTTACAGACTTTTTCTAGAGCTATATGCTTTAGGATTTTAAGACCTATTGGGTTGGGTTTACCAGAATGAATTATTTCTAAATTTTGTCTCAAGTTTTAGTGTTACTCCACATGTAATTAGTTTAACCCTCTGGCAGTCACACAAAAAAATTTCAATGGTAAGTCATGTGGCAGCTTTTACACTGCATTAGATAATTTCGATTTTTAGATCTTTAAATAAGACTTTTCATTTTTTTCTTCAGTATTTACAAAAAAAAAATAAGTTTTTAGTTTCTAAATTTAATTTAAATCATTATTTAATTTATGATTACAAATAAAACATACTCATTGCTATTTTTCATTTACTCATTATTATCACAATGGATACATTTAACAGAGATGTGGCTATGTTTCTTACATACCTTATTTTTACACTGCTGACAAGTTTCTTTCGTGCGATTATTTTTGTGTTTACCGCAAATGTAACAAATTCCAGGTTTGACAATGTCTTGAACAGTTTCATCATTATCTATATTTTTCCAAATAAACATAAATTTCTTTAGGAAGATTTTTTAGTGTTGCTCTCAATTTTAACGGTCATTTATAAGTTCATATGCTAGATCTTTAAGAAATACTCTTCGTCATTTGTTAATGTCAAGATTATTAAATTTAAAAATATCATAGTCATTTATTGCTGCTATATCTAAATATCTATAAAATAATGAACCAGGCCATCTCCGTGTAATTCTGAAGCTACTATAGGATGAACACATCTGGTCAACAGTATCTACCCCTCCTTTTATGGCCCAGGAACCTGTTTTTTGCAATATATTTCAAAGTTATACGTATAAAAAGTTTTTGCATCGCATAGTGTGTAAATTATAATTCTATACCAAGCTGGCTTGTTTGAAATATACTGAATGAATCCCCTAAAGTCGTGTAGCATTTCATCAATTGTAACAAATTCGCTTAAGTTAAAATGAGAGTTACAATTTGTGACAAATTGTTCATGAAATTCTCGTATGGGTGCTAGTTTATCAGTTTTTTTTTCGCTTGTCTTTAGTACATAAATCATCAAATCTTATTGCATGAAATAAAAATTAAAATCGGTTGTAGCTAAAAAGTGATCGCAATAGATTCATTACCCTTCAGTCTGTGTCCCAGAGCTCGGCACAGTTTGTGTGTGCTATTTTAACACCAATAAGAAGTAAAGCTCCAAAGAGAGCCTTTATTTCAGATTTTGATACTTCTCTACAATCCCTGTCTCTTAAATATTTGTACATTTTTAATTCAATACATTTGTTTGTATTAGATGCAATGTTTTCTATCATTTTATCAGTGATGAATAAGCTAAATGCTTCCACACCATTTGAAGCGTTTCTAGCCAACAATTTTGGTCCAGCAAAATTTTTTTGACTTTTTCTTACCTGAAGTAAGAGAATTGCTTATAAAAACATTTTCCTCATCTCATCCAATAAAAAATCTGTAATCTCCAGGAAGGTCTTGAAGTCTCCAGGAATGTATGCATTCTTTATGATCATCTTCATTAGCAGATGCTCGGACTCACTATCATGATCTTCTCTCACTTTACATTCTACTTCTCTCACTATACACTCATAATCGTCAGTGTCTATTTTACTTTCAATGTGCTTTTCTTGTTCATTCAGGCTTTCTTCTTGTAATTCTTGTGAAATTCTTTCTGCTTCCCTTTCCAACTCATTAGGTTTGGACTCCTTCGATTCCTAGAACAAAAAATCATTAAGAATATCTTAAAAATTGTAAAAAATAAAACGCTTACATTATCGGTAGCGTAGCGGCAACTGCACCGCAAACGTAACACACCCACAAAAAACGAAATATCAACGGACTTGCTGTGATTTAAAATCTGACCACTCCACTAGCTGCTCGTGCACACTGAAAGGAATGAATACCTAGCTCTAGAGAGTTGGACATTCAGCGCTTCTTGGGTTATACAGTTTGAAACAAATTGTGCGGTGTGTTTGACGCCGGCGCCGGCGCGACCGTCGGAGGGTTAAAATAAATAGTGCTGTTGATAGTGCTGCTCCATACTACTCATTCTTCTATATTATCCAGTATGTTTAATGACATTAATTGAAAATACCTACATTTATTTTGTTGTTTCGATTCCACATCAGGAAAATATTTTCAATTCAAATTGCAATTAATTTAGCTTACTTTAGAACTTTCCAAGATCATTTAACAAGTCTGGTTACTTTTTTATAGCACTAAAAAATACTTTTTTATGTATATTTTTTTGTTTTTAGATACCGAAGAAATGAGAAAAAATTATGACGAAATAATTGCTAGAAAAGATGGAGAAATTAATGATTTGAAAACACGATTAAGTATCTTAGAAACTGAATATACAAACATTAGTGCAATAAACATTAATATTACAACAAAATGTAATGAATTAGATAACGAAAATAAAATATTAAAGAATGAATTGGGAAATAGTAATAATATGTGTGTTGATTTAGAAACCACAATTGAAAAATTAAAAAGAGATTATATGCTCAATGAAACATTGAAGAGGCAACTTCAAAACACAATCCAAGATTTAAAAGGTATGCTTTTTATTTTATCTATTTGTTTACTGGAATTGCTATAAAAAATTCAGGAATATAATATTTAATTTTCTTCTTTCTAAAATGTATTAAGAAAGGTTTTAATTATTACTGATAAAAATATGACCATTTTATTTAATATACTTTTAATATTGTTATAAAAGTTCAGGAATATATTTTTTTCCTAAATGTACTTTGAAAGGTTTGTTAAAAAAGTAAACATTTTATTTATCATAAATTTAATATTGCAGTTAACAACACTTAACTTAAATAGTTTTTACTCATTTTCAATATTGACATCTACCTGCAGTAGCCCTATATCTTAAGTATCTTCTAAAGTAAACAGATTCTCAAAATAGGGATGATGAATGGGTGGAATAAAAGGGAAAAGGTCTTTCATATAATTTTTCTTCTCTTTGGTCACAGGTCGAGGTCCACTGTATAGTTTTGGTTGATGTATATTAGCTAAAGATCCTGGTCATCCTTTTTTTAGATCCCAGCTTTAGCTCTAGCTCAAAAAATGACATTTCGTCACTAAGAGTTTCCTTAAAGAGTAATGTAAATGGAGTACTCTTTTGGTATCAAATCCACTGCATTTTTGATCATGATACTGCATGTTTTCCGTGTCATTCTTTATTTTGGAGATCGACTTCAACAATGTGTCTACAGACACAAAATCATTATTTGTTATAACAGTAACCTGGAAAGGATTTTTCTTCCTTTACTTTTCAATAATACTGTACCAATCGGTGGGACAAAAAGTTGCTGTAATTCTTGATAGAAGCAAAATCATAGTCATTGGGAAGAAAGGAATGACCACTTTGCATAAACTTTTCGTCTATGATTTCAATATTGTTCTTCACTTAATATTTTCACTTAACACTAGTTTTAATAATGTTAGGGCTATTTCCAATTCATGTTTTGACCGGTACACCAACATCTTTTGCTTCTGACGCTCAAGTTTGTATGTATTTGACTAAACAAGCACCAATACCTTGCGAACCTCTAGATCCAGTTACTTCATTTCAACAATATATGAATCCCCTTTTTGTTGAAAGCTCATGGCAACCTAAGTTGTATAGATACAAATTAAGTTTACAGTAGGCCATTTGACATGTTAGACGTGGGAAAGATAAAGACTTTTTTAAGTCAAAAGAAAAGGCATAGTAGGATCTATTAGAAGCTGATTTATTGGTATCCAATTTCATTGATTCTCGAGCTTTACCAGCTTCGCATAGATGAAGTTCATGGTCGTGCCGAAGTTTTGATTTTTAGTGTTCTTCTGGTGATTGTTTCAGTTTATTATTAAAAATATCGCATTTTATACAAATAGACTTGTGAGGTGCATGAAAATGTAAGTTGAACTCATTATTAAAAGTTCTATGATAAACCTGCTCTGCCACAGGTTCCTTACCTTCGCTTTGAACTTTATCTTTGTATAAATTGTACAGAAGTTGAATATTTAAATCTTCTGACAAATATTTTTTATTTGGATTGTGGGATCTGGTATAATGCGATTGATAACAAGAGAAGGATGCTATGTGATTCTGTACTTCTAACATTTTTTCCTCGGATGTTTTATTACCATGAATTTTTTTGCCCCTCTTATCTTCACCAGCGAAAAATCCAAGGGATAACTTTTTTATGGCTCGAGTCATCCTACCATCAGAAATTTTAAAAGTTTGCAAAAAATATTTTTTGCACAGTCTCAGTTTTTCCAGCAATGTTAATGTGATATACAGTGTAGGAAAAATTTTATGGTCGGTATGGACCTTACGTGAGATGGAGTGAGAAACAGCTGTTTAAAAAGAGAGAGGTATATTAGGTACGCCCTTTATATCGCCGAATGGAAATATTAAAAAAGGGGAAATTCAACGTTGCCAAACTTATTGGATTTATTTCACCTGTTGTTTTTTTTTTGCATTTGAACAATGTTCTAAGATAATCCAATTTGAGCGAAATTGATTTAAATGGCAGCTTACTCTTTTTTTTTATTGGGAATATGCCACAAGTTTACTTTACAATAAGTGTAATATAAGATTTTGATTTCCACTTTGGAAATCGTTTTATATACCTAAATAAAATTTATTAATGTTTCGTATTTTAAGTACGATTTCCGAATTAAAAATCTAAACATCAAAATAAGCTTATTTTAAAGTCACATTGTGCCTTATTCCCAATATGAAATAATAAACTGCATACAATAACACCACATCAAAAAATATTCATACACAATAATTTATTTGGCAACGTCGTCCGTCTGGTCAGAATACCGAGTAACGGGTAGTAGAGGTGGGTCGTGGTAATTTTACCGTTAAGAGCGTAAGAGCGATTAATATTTTTTAAATGCATTCATTTTTTTCGAATCCTGATAAAACTAATAAATATTCTTGAAAAATTTAAACGCAGAATGAACCAATACATTATTACCGAGGGCCAAAAGTCCCTGAAAACTTCTATAATGTTTATTTTAATAAGTTATAAGGGCGAAAAAAAAAATTAGTGTGATTTTTAATTTCAAATATCTCATTCAAAAAACTTTTTGTTTATTCTAAGGGACTTTCGGCCCTCGGTAATAATGTAATCTTTTATTCTGCATTTAAATTTTTCAAAAATATTTGTTAGTTTTCTCAGGATTCCAAAAAAAAATGAATGAATTTAAAAATTTAAATTTTTGTAAACAACTAACTATGATTGTTTAAAAGTAGTTTCAAGTAAGAGAGTACCTACATAAACAAACATAATGGCCAAAACATATGGCGTACCATAACAATCACTGAACTACCCTTCAAGTATTTTTGGCCACTCATTGTACTTGTTATTTCTTTAAACGGCCGTAAAATTTGGGAAAGCTGAGAACAAATAATCCAGTGTTTTTTATTTAGATTTGGTCTAAGTCTAAGTCTGTATTATTTAATACCGATGTGGAACGGAAATACACGCCAGTACACCGAAAATATCAAAATACAGAGAGGAGTCCGCCAGGGTTGCGTGCTGTCCCCACTACTTTTCAATGTCTACAGTGATCGGTATTTTAAGAAGCGCTCTCTGACTCAATAGAAGGTATATCTATCTATGAAGAAGTTTTGAATAACTTACGTTTTGCAGACGATACAGTAATAATTACGGATAACAACAATGATTTACAGAACCTAATGCAACGCCTTAATGAACGCTGTCATGAGTACGGACTGAAGATAAATTTAAAGAAAACTAAATGCATGATCATGACTAAATCTGCACAAATATCCAATTGACTATTGAAGATACTGCAATTAAGAGTGTTAATAACTATAAATACTTGGGAACATGGATAACATCAGATGTAGACCAAATCAAAGAAATTAAGACACATATTGAAATAGCACGTACATCATTTATTAAACTTAAAAAGTTTCTTTGTTGTCGGGATATAAGGTTAGAACTACGCCTGAGAATGCTTCGATGTTACGTGTTCTCTACTCTTCTTTATGGTCTGAAAGCTTGGACACTAAAACAAGTTCATCTGAATAAGTTGGCCGCCTTTGAATTTTGGTGTTACAGAAGAATCCTACGAATATCATGGATTCAAAAAATGTCAAACATTGAAGTAACTAGAAGGATAGGAAATGAGGCAGAAATAATATTAACTATTAAAAGACGAAAACTTGAATACTTGGGACATGTGATGAGAGGGCAAAAATACGCATTATTACAACTTATTATGCAGGGCAAAATCCGAGAAAAGCGAAATGTGGGAAGACGAAGAATATCCTGGCTTAAGAACTTAAGGGAATGGTTTGAATGAAGTAGTGCAGACCTTTTTAGAGCGGCAGTCAACAGAGTCGGCATAGCCATGATGATTTCCAACCTTCGATAGAAGATGGAACTTAAAGAAGAAGAAGTGAAACGGATTGCCTCTTCTAACTCAGTCATTCTTTTTAACCTGTAATAAGTGAAGTTCTACCTAGTTTTCACGTCTTGGATTGGCCGTTTGGGAACTTTGTTATGTTGTAATTAAGCCTTTCTGAAGATAAGGTACTTTTTTTAATGTTTTTTGCAGAATAGTCGAAAAAAGGACTTTTTTTTATCTATTATCAAATCAGTTTTGACATAACATTCCTGAAGTAATGAATCAGTTTTTCTTGTTGGCGGTTTATATCCAGGAATCCACCCTGCAAACTTTTTAAAATCTGGTTCTTCACCTATAGAAAACGGATGAAACGAGTCTTTGCATAAGTTTAGTAAATCAATAAGTTTAGTCAAGAAAAAGAAACTGATAAAGATGACTTAAGTCCATTGTGTATTTTTGATGAATTAATTGGACATGACTCATCTAAACATACAACTGTATCGAGAGATATACAAGAAGTAGACATGTATTTGTCTAATAATATATTACCCACAATAAATTTCGAACGGAGATTAGAACTGTCCATTACCGTGGTGGAAAAACCATCGCCATGTATATCCTAACTTAGCCACTATATTCATAAAATATTGTAGAATTGTAACAAAATCTTTTCCTTATGAACACATGTTTAAAATCTGGTTTAATTTTAAATAAAAGAAGAACACAGTTAACAAGAAAAGTAGAAAAACTTGTTTTTAAATGTCAATTTAGACGGTTCGCGATTTAATAATAACGTGTAATGTAAATGTAAGTACTATTTGTATTGTTTAATTTATTTTTCAAGTTATAATAAATATATCCTTCGTTAGGTTCTTTCACTTCAATACTTATACACATAAACGATAATAGCCAATATGTTTGTGTACTCGCTAATTTGAATCAACTAGTTACAGTTTACGAAAAACGGTTCCGATAAAAATTTAAAAAACGGGAGGACCCACCTCTAGTTTTTTAGGTATATTAGGATCGGAACCAGAGAATATGTAAAATATCTCTGATCGGAACTATTCGTCTCACTAATGGCCAATAGGTGTTAAAAATATTTGAGGAGGGGAGACCAAGGGGAAATATGATTGTTATCTTTGTCTATTCGCTGAAAATATGATTT